GGGGCAGTTCTACTTTGTCCCTTAGGGTTGCTATGAGTCAGAATCAACTCGACAGCAAGAGGTTTGGTGGCATTTTTTTGGTTGCTTCCATCTAAAATTTATTTATCTCTAGATGAGGCCAGGACTTACCTTTCATTTTTATTTCCAAACGTCCCAATTGTCCCAATACCATTTACTGAATAATCGAGTCAGGCTTTCCCCACTGCTTCATAATCCCACTATTATTATTCTGTCACCACCTGGATGTCAGCTTGTTGTACTGTGGTGGCTCTGTGTTGCTACTAATGATCTTGAAGATGGAGCAGGACGGGGCAAACATTTTGTTCTGTTGTACATGAGGTGCCATGAGTTGGAGGTGACTCAATGGCCACTAACAACAATATTATTTTCCTGTGTATTTATCTCTCATAGACCTATGGGTCTGCTTCTAGGTCCTCTATCCTGATTTCTTTGATGTGTTTATTCCTATGTCAGTCCCATAATATTTACTGGCTGCTGCTTTACAGACAGTATGTTTTCACATGGAATTCACTACTCTCAAGCATTTATTCTCCTAGATAAACTTCTCAATTTATCTATTTCCCCCCAAAATACCAACTTGAATTGCATTATACTTACAGATTAACTTGAGGAAAATTAATCTCATTAAAATATTGAATTTTACTATTTGAATAAACAGTATGTTTCTCCAGTTAAGTATTCTATTATGTTCTGTAGTAAAGTTTTTGTGGTTTTCTACACAGAGGTCCAGTACATATCTTTCTACATGCATTCCCAAACACATTTCATAGTTTTTATTGCTTTTTGAGACTAGGATCCTTTTTCTACCATACTTTCTAATTAGTTATACTGGTATATAGGAACACTATTTAAGGTTTTTAAAACTTCTTTTATATTTCTTGGGGAGGCCATGAAAGTCAACAACTACAGTTCAACTTTTCTGCAAATAGGAGCTTCTGTTAAGAGGTGAGTCCTTCTTACCTAACCAACGTTTTTCATGTATCTTGAACCTAATGGAACAATTTATATATATATATGCAATATCTGTTTTTCCACACTTTGTGCAAGTACAATGATCCCATACCAAAAAAGATCTCACACCGATTGCTTCCAAGAGGCTGGGCTCCACTGCTTATGCTTTCTATCTTCAGAGCAATGGGACAGCTTAGCACAAAGGACAGTCACTTTATTCAACTCTACTTTCTTCAGCCATCCAACACTTTGAATAGCTATTATATTTATCTAATTAGTCAAGTTAGGATCTTTTCCACTTATGTGTTACAACATCCTCAAGGGTTTCAAATGCCTGAATACTCCATTCAGAGAAAAGCCTGCCTTTACATGGCTCTTTCCTCTCCTGTGCCCATTGAAAAAAATAAAACAAAAGGAGCCCTTCATTAACTCTGCCATGTTGGTTTCCTTCAGCTAAGTCAACTGTATGTCCAATCTTTACCAGTTTACAGATTATGGTTGTGGGGTAAACGATCTAATTTTACCCTACGTAAGGTGGCCTTTGTCCTTAGCTTGGTAGAAATAACCCTTGCAGTAACTGGAGTACCTTGATTTGGGACTTCCATGCCACACCTCAGAATCTGCGCTGTGAATGGGGGCTGGCCAGATCAGAAAAGACTCACCTGGGAGGCCAATATTAACTAGCCTCAGGAGGCATGATTTAGCTTATCATGCAGGACTGGCCAATCAAATCCCTGAACACGAAGGCTCAGAGAGCTTCCTGGTTGACGAGAACATCTGCTCTCGGGAGGGTAGGTTTGGGACGTGGAAGCTTTGTGTTGGGAATCCTCCTAGACCTCGCCCTATGTGTCTCTTTGTTTGTATCCTTTTTGGCTATAATTAAATCTGTAGTCCTAAGTATGGTATACTCTCTGTGAACCCTGTGAATCATTCCAGTGAATTATTGAACCCAAAAAGACAGTCGGAGCCAGCAGGTCAGAAAGTAAGGGTGTCGTGTGGACTCCCAAACTTGCAGCTGACATCCTGAACGGGTAGTGGGAAACCAGCCCTGAATTTGTGTTCAGCAGGTCAGAAGGTTGGGGCGCCATGTGGAATTCCCAAGCTTGTAGCTGGTATCTGCCTATTTGGCAGTCTGAAGGACAGTGTCCTTTTAACTTATCAGCTTTGACCTAGTTCCGAGTGTTTAGGGTCAGAGAGAGAGTGTCACAGGGGTGGCTGGCTGATGAGGAGGATGGAGAAGCAGGAATGTGAGGACTGGATCAACCCCATCCACATTTCAGAGACTGGATTTATGCTGATCCATACTGTGCAATGGTGAAATGTTTTCTCCTAACTGACAAAAATTATACTTCAAACTTGGGAGTTTTATAACTAGGTTGTCTGATTCTTCTTGAAAGTACTGTGTTGTTTTTCTTCTACATACTTAAACATTTAAAAGTGAATATTTAAATAAAATTTAAAATTTAAAGAAAATACTTAAAACAATGTCATATAAAGTTGTTTCTGAACATGCATTTTGCTCTTAATGTAAAATGACCTCTAGTCTGTGGGGCTGTATAACTAGTCTTTTATGATGGAATATGAGCGTAACTGATAAGTAGGCACGGTCTCTCTCTGCTCGCTCTGTGCCCACTCCTTTGCCCCATCAACTTAATGAAGAAGAGTCCAAAGCTGTGATGGGGATGGAGCCACAAGAAAAAAGGGGCCTGGTTCCCTAAGTGACTGTGTGCAACAGAGGATCCCTCTTCAAGTGGACTGTAATGTGAGTGAGAAATAAATTTCCATTATGTTAAGCTACTAAAATGATGTTGTGACTTTTGTTGTTGTTGGTAGTAGTTGTTGGTAATAGCAGTTAGCCTATCCCTAACTAATAGAGATGTTAGGTAAAGGGCTTAATAGTGACAAGAGTCTGGGACAGCAGATGAAGAAAATGAAAAAGGATATGAGCTGACTAAGATAAAACAGAAGGAGGAGTTGTGAGGGTCCAGCAAAGACTGGGTTACACAAATTTGTACTAGCACCAATCCATTAAGGTGATAATAAATTCTACTTGGTTATCATTAAATTACTTTTTAAAATCTCATTTTAAAAAAAGCAGCACAATAATTTCTTAATGAAATATGTGGAAACTCAAAATATAAACTAGAGAAACACAGAGCAGATACAGTCGAAGTAAGATTGGAGGACCTTGAACCTCATCTGCTTAGCTTCTCTGGCACCTGCCTGAAGAATCCTAGGACTCCAAAAGTCAGTTTGAAAATCCATGATTTTATAATATTAACGTTTAGTTGCCAATGTTAACATTTCTGTTATCAACATTCATAAATTAGTCAAGAGCAATCTTTTTGTTTCTATGTATATTTTATACTAAACGTTTATTTCTCATTTATTGCAATGTAATTATTCAAACATGAATTATCTCTTAGATAATACAGCTTTGCCCACACTCCTCAGGTTTTTCTATATTGTGTTGCTGCTATTTTTCTCACAGTATTTTTTACTTTCATCTTTACTGAAGTATTATTGATTCAATACGTATATTTATTTAATGCTAATATTGCTAAGCATTAACGATACAGTGATGAACAGGACCAATATGGTTGTTATTCTCAGGAAGATTAAATTTTCTAAACGACTGTGGTTCTTTTAAACTTACACAACTGATCTCTAATTTCATACACCATGATCATAATACGTGGCCTGGACTATTTCTTCAAATTTACTAATATTTTCACAGTGGCCCAATATGTTTATTGATTCTGCTCATTAGCTCATTTTCTTAAATAATACCTATTATTCATAAACTTGATCCCCAGCATCCACTCTCCCATTCTGTATTCTAGGGGTATTTCTCAATTCTACTCTACATGTTACCAATTTGATTAACTAGTTTTTGTGATTTAATCTGTGATTTTTTTGTTTTTGTTTTGCAATGCAATCTTCTTTCATGCAAGCCTTATTTTTTTCTGAATCTGTTAAATAAAAGTAAAATCTACTTAAAAAAATATTTCATCTTCTAAAGCCTCGTTTCATAGGAGTGATTCTTCTCTGAGCTCATAAAACTTTGGTCCATTTCTGTGGTTGAATGGTTCAACTTTTTTTTTTAATTTACTTATTTTCAAATTGGATTTGCTAGCCATTATTTATCTGTCCAGATGATTCAAGGCTGGCTTAAAAGCAGGTCTTCTGTATCTTGCTCAGTAGAGAAAGCTATCCAGGCGTGACACAAAGAATAGAGAGGTTTACCTTCAACTTCCCCACCTGGTACTGAGGCTAGCAGACGTCCCTTTAGAAAGATGGTGAGCAAATTAGTTCATAAGGGCTTGCGTTGCCTTTATCTCATAAAAGGCATTTAATCAGTTCTGTTTCAGGACAAAGAGACCCATCTAGCACCAGGGAGGAAAATAATACCTTCCGAAGGAACTAAAGCCAGAAGTTATTTATACTACTCATGTCAATATTGATATGAGGGTAAAACGTTCCACAGAAGTGAAATGCACAGAAGTAAAATACATGCTCAAATCTTTTCTCCAGCATGCCGAGACTGACAAAGACAGCCAAGAACCTCTGATGCACAGAAAGCCCTATGGGGTGCTATGAAGCAAAAACAAGTGATCAGAGCTTATGTGGAAGGTGGTGAACAACTGTACCTAAAGGGGTCACGAGAACAAATACAGGGTAGCAAGGATGCAGGCTCAAGGAAGGGAGGTGCTGATTCTGAATAGTTATAAATGATTGCAGAAATTCCTTTCGGAATTAGAAAATGCTTTTAGTATCCGCATGTAATAGAACAAATTTAATTGCTAGATATTTAGAAATTTTATATAAGTACATTTAATAGGCTATTTTTTATGACTTGTATAGCACTACAAAAGACTACAAGAAGAAAAATTCTAAATTCATAAATATTCAACTAAAATGTTTAGTAATAGTTTTCATTTTAACAACTAAATGCAACCATATTTTTGTCCTTTAACCACCATGTTAGAATAAATAAAACAGGTTACCGAATCAAAGTTTTAACTTACCCTGAAAAATCAGCAGAATATTGTCCATAATCAAAGATATAGACTCTAGTAATTTGGCACACTGTGAGGTATCCCAAAGCAAACACAAAACAATATCTGGAAAACGAAAATAAGCTAGATCAGTGGAAATTAATATACAATTCATTTTGTTGAAGAGAACATGTTAATTTATTAACTATATAATATGGTTCAGAAATTAAATATTACTAGATCTACTCCACAAATAGCTTTCTTCAATAAATTATAAAAACTTTACCAGCATTTGCTTCAGTTTCGTTAAATCTTGTCCCACCTTCAATGCTAAATGCATTGAATTACTTTATTCACTGTATTTCAACTGCACAACACTAAACAGTTTTCCTGAAAAAGGGGAAACAGAAACAGCTGGTGTGGCTTTTCACCCTTTTGCTATTCTTTCTGCCTAGAATATGGATCTGATGGCTGCTGCAGGAAAAATCTTAGAACCAAGAGATCACAAGCCGTCAGGCTAAGGACAGGACAGCAGAACAAGAGAAGAAACACAGTTCTTCAGTGACAGTGCTGAGCTGCTACACTGGCTCTGGACTACCCAACTCCAGAGAGAATCCTCGGTGGTGCTCTGTTTCTGTTTTCCTTTTTCGGTAAACTGCAACTGAATGCATCCCTAACCGACACAAATGCTCATCAAGCTTTTGTTGTTATTTCTATTTTCAGTTAGACTGCAAGGAAGGCTGATGCCCCACTTTGAAATTGAAACCTTCAATTTTTCGAGTTCATACATCAGCAGAGGAAAACAGACAGATAAGCCAATATGTGCCCTTTATTATTGTAAGTGCTATGGTCAATGAGTTTCACTGAATGTTGTCAAATAGAATAGTATACATGCAAATAAAATCTAGACAGACCTAACCTACATTTAGGTAATGGCCCTATTACTTTTTATTATTCCTACCTGTATAATCTTTAAAAATTACTAAACTTCTGAGCTCTGTTCTCTCACTTACAAAATGTAGACATTACCTATTCTCACAGGATGTTTATGAGCATTAAAAGAGATAATGTGTGTCGGATGCTCTGTATGTTGCCTGAAACACAGTAGACATTCAATAGCTGTTATGATGAAATATTGTGGCAGACACAGATCATTGTCTTCTCTGTATCCACTGCCCACTTCTTCTTTGTTAAAGAACCTCAGTTTTGTTTAGTTGTCCAGCTATTTGGGAAGGTGATTCTATTCCCAGGTAAGGGATAAACAATGATTATTCTACATCAATCACTGTGATCTCATCCTCCCTGCAACTCACTGGTTTATGAGTAGAAATAAAACTTGGTCTGGTCAATGGAACATGACAGAGGGCTTCTGGAAAGGCTTTTCTCATTCGTACAGTGTCACACATGCTGTTGTCATGTCAGTAAATGCAGCAGCCACCTTGATTTATAAGAGGAACAAGCCTGAAAACAAAGTCAACATGTGGGGAAGGGAAAGTTAAATAGAACTTGGGTTTTTGATGCCCCCATCAGGACTGAGCTACTGAATTAACCAACATTAGTTGCCTTGCCTCATGATTTCTTGCTTTGAGAGGTAACAATTTCTCTGCTGTTTACACCATTAAATCACTATGAGTTGGGATTTCTGCTGTTTGCAGCCTAAAGCATCCTGATACAATTGTTATTAAATATAAAAATTAAATAAAGAGCATCTGAAGAGTTCCAGAACAGAATATTTTCTTATTTGTTAAAATATAAATGTTGAATTACTGCCTCATTTCAAAAAGTGAAATCACATCTAAAACATCTATTCATTTAGGTACTAGATACAGAGTAGAAATTCATCAGTGAAAAACAAAGTGCTCAGGGACTAAGGGAATTAATTAATGAACTAGAAATGCTAAGGAGAACTAAAAAAGTATTCTTCCTAGACAAGAAGGAAAACAGGTAACATCACCAAAAGGATCAAAATCTTGATGGGAATAAACATAAAAACTTACAAACTGAGTATCTGTTTTAATGTGCTGAAATCAAATCAAATTATTCATTTTCCCAGGTTCTCTAGAGTAGATAGCTTTGGTTGTAGCCCAACTTGAAGAAAGGCCTGCACATCTGAATGCTAACTTAACTTTATCCTTATTTTGCCTTCCCCTTCTGACTATATTTTCCATGACCCTGTATGTTTATGTACTTTTTTGTTTTATAGTATTTTATTTTTTTAAGTTGTTGCAAAAATTACATACAAAGACTACAGATTAGCCAAAAAATTTCTGAAATAAAAGAATACAGGTAGAAGACTTACATTACCTGATTTCAAGACTACGTATAATACTTTGGTAATCAAGACTGTGGTCTGGCATATGGTTAGACACATCAGGGATGGATTACCAATGAGCAAGGTAAGTATGTGCTTAGGGCATCAACAAAACAGGGGCATCAGTTGTCCAAAGTGAAGACCCATAGATGCCAAGCAGACAGGACACAAGGAAAAGCCAGCACCGCAATGGAAGGGAGCTGGCAGGGCACTAAATGAAAATGACACCAGCTCTACTGCACGGCAATGTGCCAGCCAGAAATGAAGTTCATGCAGGGTCATAAGAGCAGCCAGGTGCAAGGCTGGTTAAGCTATGAGGCCCCTACCACTTCAATGCCTTCGTTGACTTCTGTCTCCTATGGTCCCCTCCCGTGTAATTGAAACTCCTTATCTTGGCAGATCTCGAGACTATACTATTTCTTTCTAATAAACAAAAGGTGGGGGTGGGCTGCAGAGTCTAATTCTTGCTACATTCACCCAATATGCAACTGGATCCAACATGAACGGTTACTGGGCAAGGACGGATTATATTAATAGATAACAGGTATCTGATCCATTTTGAGAGAACTGTCTTGTATATGCACATCTGCTGATCCAGAAACTCCAGCCAGGAGGGCCAGTAACGCCCTTTGCCATGATACAAACACAAGGGTATGCTCTTGCGCACGTCCTGGTAAACAACCAATGAGGATTCTAGTCCCGGATGACAAGAAAATGTGAGGGAACTCGAATAAGTCGACCACTGCAATGAATTCAATCAAGTACTTTTTAACTGTATAGCACTTACATACAGACTTACGTCTTAAGTTCTGTAAACAATAATATTTATAACTTTAACTTTAAAATATGTTTGGCGCACACACAGATGCAACCTAGCATACATTTAATAGAATACTAACATGGGTAATAATTTACCATAATACTAACATAGCAAACATCCAAAATATTAACATTTATCAACACGAAAAGTTTCAATTTATGTACCGAGGGAGTTTCGCTTTTTACTGCCTGTTGTGCAGGACACAGTGCTCGATATAACTCTATATATGCTAATAAATGAGGTATGAGGCACATTAAGAGGATGCAAAATTCAGTATTTACTGTGCAAAATATGTTTGTTTTGCAACAATGAGTGTGTTTCTAAATTCATCTTCCAAGAAAGCAACAAAAGGCGTTTAGCAGAACATGACATTTATATTTTATCAGAATATTTACATATCTCTGTGTAAGGAAACTGAATAATTCCTCGAGGAAATAAATTCTAAATAAATGAATATTTAGATAATGAAAATTATATAAATGTATTTTATTTTCCATTTCCCTTTAGACTGACTTTCTTTTAAGAAACTGATTGATAATTATGACTTGTAAAACAAACTTGCTCATCGAGAAGTGGTGCTATTGTTACGTTAAGTATGTGCGTATCTCCAAATGTGGGAGTTGAACAATTCCACAAAAAAGTGAAAGGTACATTTTATAAATGTTGTATACGATAACAATTATATTTTCCTTTTCATTTTGGACCCATCAGGTATAACATCGCATGCAGTTCTTTCTCGTCAACCACATAAGAATATGCTAGTGGCACTATAACCACATGACTCACGACACATCTGGTCCTGTCCTGCATAAAGCAAACCAAAACACATCTTCAAATTAAGCATATCCTTGTATCTGTATCACGCTCTTTGAGATCACTCTCCCCTCTGTCGGGTATCAGCGGTAGTCCAATGAAGTGTGAAGACGCAGCATCAAAGGGGAAAAACTGAGTGCCCAAGTTTTTAAGTATCATCTCAAGATGAAAAACGCTAGAGGAGATCTACGGAGGGCCCGCCAACAAACATGTATGACAAACGAATGAAATTATTTCCAGCTGCCTTGTAAGTACTATTTCTTTTGACTATCTCAGACCTGAAGAACAAAACTACATGTTCCAAATAAATTCTTTTTACTAATTTTCAAGTATAAATTTTTATGTTAATGTCCAAATTTTAATGTAAATTTTATTTTATAAATTTTCTTTTAGGACATGTTTGAATTTGTTCATTTATAATTACAGCATTTATTATGAAACAAGCACCAAAACTGAAGTATGAGCCATTTAAAGCAAAATTGGTGAAAGTCAATTTTTTGTTGCGGGAGATCAACAGAATTTTACATTGATTGTTGAAAGAACTAAGTTCACTAACTCGTTTTCTTCATCGTAGAATATGTGGAATACTCTTTTTGTAGAAAATGTAGTATGTAGTAAAAATCTTAGTACACCACATCTACTAAAAATTTTATAATCCAATTCATCTCATTCCACTAAAATGGGATATGCCACTTTTGCGTTCAGTCATTAATATACAGTTGCATTTAAAAAGAAGTTACATCATGGATAGCTAAGATACACAGACACACACATATGTGCATATATATATGTATACACACACACACACACACATATATAACTCAAGTATCCCATTTGAACGCATGAATAAGGAGAGGGAGGGGCACTATGTATTATCAATGTTTAGGACCCTCACATGCCTTCATCTGGCCCTGAGACACATAGATCAATGAATAAAATAAAGAGTCCAGAAATAAATAAAGTCATACATAAATGATCAATTTATTTTTGACAAAAAAGACAAGGCAACTCAATTGGGGAAAAGACAGTCTTTAGAATAAATGGTCCTGGGACAAACAGATACACATACAAGGGAAAAAAATGAATTTGAACCCTTACCTCACAAAATATACAAAAATTAGCCTAAAACGGATCATTGACCTAAACACAAAAACTACAACTAGCTTTTGGTTTTCTACTTCT